ACTCCCCCCCCCCTCCATCCCCTGTCCGGACTCAACAAACCCTCATCAACTTGCAACCACCTAATTACTGTCAACCCTACGCCCCTCCCTTATCCTCATGACTAATTTGCGTTTTATGATAACATAATTACCAGCATGTTACTTTGTACCCCCTCCCTATATAAATGTACGGCTCCGAAGAGAATTTATCGAAAGCTACGTATGCTCGCCAAATACTCTTTTGAATTCTCTGATGGGAGTTTTCGCAGCATTAACAGTTATTCACTGTAGCTAGGCTCGACGCGGGCGTCCATTGGTTGGCATATTATGCTTTTGCGATGCACGTCATAGGTTTCAGGAAATAAGGCCGTCAAACTGCAAATCATTAAATACGTAGACGTCAGAGGTTTCTCTAAAATGACCCACGTCTTCCATTTTGGCCATGCAAAATAAGGTTGCCTAGATTAGCAGACTTAACGATACTTCCGATGGGGCGATGATGGTATTGGCACCCAGATCTTTCTACGTAAGTATTCTGTGTTACATTGCCATAAAACCGTCTCGGCATTACCCCTTCCCCTTATACTGCAGACAAAATACTTATCCACGAGGTACTTAAGCGCCCAAATATATACCTAGTGAAAGGTTTTCAATCAGAAGCGGATTCCACGGACATCTTTAGACCAATTACATGATCTTTAATGTCCGGAAATTATAAGAAAAGACGTCCGGAAACGAAAAAAAGGTTCTATGCCATTTTAATTGGTCAAAATTAAGCTAACACGCATTCTAGAAAATAAGTTTGATGTTCGAAACCTTTTGCGCAAATGACAACACGTGTCGTGGACAGCAAGTCAGTCGCTGAAACGTTCACCGTGTCAAGCGGAATGTTCGGTTCTACTTTCTTTAGTTTTATGTTCATCATGCTATTTGGGCTAAGCCTGAAATCAACAGCAGCTACCGAACCGATGACTCAACACCTGGCATACGCAGGCAGAAACCAACGTATCTAGGGCCAGTGCCCTGAAAGCCTCAAACCAACGCGGAAGTGAAGTTAGGCAGACCTTCTTTCCTCGCCTGTTCAAGCTTCGGGCTGGCTAATTGCCTCTTGGTCGACCCGCGCTGGTGGAATTCGCATCATAATGGATAAATTCGCACAAGTGAAGAGGACCATCCACGCAACATCACGACTTGCAAAGAAGTCGCAGATCGGACCACGAAAACAATCCAGACCCTCGACAGGTTGTAACGCCCTACATCCTTCTTAGCGCGAAACCAATAGTGTGGAAAGGGCTGTCGTTCTTAGTACATTCATTTAAGGGGCAGAGACGCAGATTGTGTACGAAAG